AAGCAAGCTCTGGTAGCATAGTGGCTAACGCACTTGACTGCTAACCAGAAGGCTCGCGGTTCAAACCCACCAGCCACTCCTCAGAAGGAAGATGAGGCAATCTACTTCCGTAGTGATACTGCTTCGGAAACCCAAGGAGGGGTCGCTATGAGTCAGGTCTGACTCAACGGCACATAACAACAACAACAACAACATACATATATATATAAAGGAACTCTGCTCCTTTAATTGTTCATATTGCTTATATACTACAAGCAGTATGATGTCATTATACTACATTCAAAGAAATCATTTGGAAAGTGTTTTTTGCAGGGTTTTATGTGTTTGGGGAAAAATTATAAAATAAAAATCACATCTACTAACTATTTTCCAGATACGGTTTTTACTCTATCATTTTCTTCACAAATTTATTGTTAACTACGTATGAAAATAAGAATGAAAGAAAGTCAAAATAGCATTTGCTAACATATGTTCTCATGGAAAAGTTTAAATCTTCACAGAAAAGAAACAATGCTTAAACAGAACATCAGCAACTTGGGAGGCAACTGGTGATGTAATAAGAAATATTCCCTCCCAAGTCTCTGAAGTCTGAAATGAAATGGCACACCACAACGTCGCACTTAAAGAATCTGGGAATTAATGGCTTCCTACCACCCTGCAAAGCTGCAGGCAATTCATCCCCTTGAAAATACTATAATCAGAAGTTTTGTTTGCTCCGAATAATGAGCTAGAATGCTCTGTGATCATTCTGAGTCAGGTACTAAGCCTTTCTCAAACTCAGGTGCCCACACTGTTGACAGAGGCATATAATTTTTATGAAGACTCCTGGGCCTCTTTCCACAGTCTCCTCTTCAAAGTCATCCATTTACATATCAATTTCAATCTTTCAATAGAAAAAAAGTGTATAAATTTCAGAACTCCTTGACTCAAGATTACTAGTTAAAACAACCTACTCTTTCATGCTGTGTACCTACAAAATTAGTTCTATTCAGGGACTGTAGGTGTATAATACCACCCAAAGGAGCCTTAAGGAGCTCTGGCAGTGCAGTGGTTAAAGCACTCAGATGCTAACCAAAAGGTCAGTCGTTCAAACCCACCAGCTGCGCTGCAGGAAAAAGATAAGGCAGTCTGCTTCTGTAAAGGTTACAGCCTTGGAAACTCTATGGGGCAGTTCTATGCCATGCTACAGGGCCAGTACACGTCAGAATTAACTCTACAGCCATGAGTTTTGGTTTGATCTAACACTACCCACTGTGTGACATAAAACGTATAAACCAGCAAAAAATCAACTCACTGCCATTGAGTCGGATCTGACTCATAGTGACCCCTCCTTGGGTTTACAAGGCGGTATCACCACAGAAGCAGATTGTCCAACCTTCCTTCCGAGGAGTGGCTGGTGGGTTTGAACTTCCAGCCTCCTGGTTAACAGTCAAATGCCATAGGCACTATGCTACCAGAATGCCCATAAAATGTGTAAAAGACATATGAAAAGCTATATTTATCCTTTTCAGATAGCAATTTAAAAAGTTAGGGAACCTTAGGACATCTTGCTCCAACATTGGATTCAATGGTATTAATTTAAATAAATGACATGATTAATCGTGATCTTTGAACCAACTAATCAAACTCAATCTACCTAACCATTTACTTGACAGATATTTTTGCACACCTATTATGTGCCAGGAAAGTCTGAAGACACACGGATGAAGGGGACACATGTCCCTGACATACCTAAGGGGTGGAGGTAAGAATCTAAGTAAGTCACAATTAAATGGACAGGATAATTTCAGGCAATGGAATGTGATAATGTGGGGTATGTGACAGAGTGTGACTGGGGTGAAACAGAGGTCAGGGAAAACTTTGTTGAAAGGGTATTCAAACACAGATCTTGAGGTTAAGGAGGAGATAACTATGTAATAATCCTGAGGCACAATTTCCCAGAAACAGTCTCTGTGAGCCCTAAGGTAGATGCCACTGACCTCTCCTGGCACACCTGGAGAGTACCGAAGGAGAGGAAGAGGGGCGGGAGAGGAGGCTGGAGAGGTGGGCAGGGCCGAGAGAGCAGGGGCTGACAGCCACGGCAGGAGCAGGAATACCCTTTGTGGCAGCAGGAATATCGTTCACATGGCCTCCATTCTGAGCTTCCAACGTTTGCACTAATACACGAAATCTCACTTTAGGCTTTGACGCACCATCTACATCACTACCAACCGTCCAGCCAGTAGTTCTCTCTAGACGTTGCCAGGACAATTGCCTTTCTTAGTATTTTCCCCAGGTTAGGACAGCCTTTACCTATATTTATATGTACAGTTCAACTGCATTCAAAACTACAACTTCATGTGTACTCCAAAGTTATTTTTTTCATAAAGACAGAAAATAATCAGTTGAAATTAAATAAGTATAGGGATTCTGAGACTCCAAACTCAAAACAAAAGGGACAAATATCCCCTTCTGTCTTCAAAGAAGTGTCATTTTCAAAGTATAAATTATCCATCTTTCACATTGCACATAGTGAGCCTAAAATATTTCCTGTTACAGAAAGAATATCTTTCCCTTTTTTCTCACAAAACTGGTGTCTACTCACAATATGAAAATGATTCTTATATTGACATAAACTGTTTCAGTACAAAAATGAACATGTACCTGTAAATAATATGATCCTTTGCAAAATAAAGGGTCACTATGAGTCAGAATCAATTCAGTGGCAGTGAGGTTAGTGGGTTTGCAAAGGAAAGTATGGAAAACTAAGGTTTGACTGCATCCACATTAAGAACTAAAAACATATTTTGTTTCATAAATTACTTTTTAAAAACCTTGAAAATGTTATTAGAACCCTGTATTCTGTTTCTGGAGCCCTGGTCACAGAGTGGTTAAAGTGCTCAGCTGCTAACCAGAAGGTTGGAGGTCCAAACCCACCAACTCCTCCTCGAAAGAAAAGTGGCAATCTGCTTCTGTCATGATTGACAGCGTTAGGAACCCCACAGGGCAATTCTACTATGTTACTGTAGCATCACTAAGAGTCGGAATCGACTCAGCAGCAGTGGGTTTTTGGTTTTGGTGCCTCATTTAAAAACTCAGATCAGTCACGCAGATACCTTCATAATTAAAGTAGCTGGGAATCAAAATAATTAGGAATTTTAGAGCTAAAATCAAATCTGGTATTTTTTAATACATTCAAATAAAATGCTTCAATACAAAGATAATCAGATGTTGCTCAGACCTTGGGTCAACTAATGCCTGACACGTCATATATGCTTTATTAAATATTACTTATAAGTAAATGAAATAGTAAGTTATACTTAAACAATTTTATTTTAAATGTTACTTTATTAAATATTACTTATAAGTAAATGAACTAGTAAGTTATATTTAAACAATTTTCTTACTCTTCTAATGAAAATGCTTTTTCTAAAGGCAATTAATTTTAAACTATTGAAAAGCAACTCTCACATTGACACACCTGAAAAAAACATATTAGCACCATTATAAAATTGTCCAATAAATCTCATTTCTTCATTGTTATGGCCATGAGATTATAGTTTCCATTACTGACTGCTTTTTCAGTCATTCCAAATATAGCTATTTGACTAAAACATTAAAGTCTAATTATGAATAATGGTTAATAAAATCGGTTGTTAAGTACAATACCTGAAATGTAGCTATCATGTCTTCCAGCCCTTCAATTTTTGAATCTTGTAGGACCGAGTATGTCTTGAAGGTTGTAAAGATGTCTATTATCTTGGTAAGGCGTCGGTGGAAAGTTTCAAATTTTCCAAAAATGTACATCTCACTAAATTCAAATTGTTTTTCATTTGGATTTTGTTTGAGCTTTTGTTTTGTCTTGTGAAAGCACTGCTGGTATTCCTTAAAACCAAAAACAAAGTGTAAGAAAGAGGACTTAACAAGGTATCTACCTTGTATTTTTAAAAGGAGACCATGACAAAATTAGGATGAATGCGGAAGCCTGTTCAGTTTGACACCTTCAGTTATTCTTCCATCAATCTGGAGTATCGTCTTTCCTCACTCTCCAATCCAGCAAAGTCCTCATGACTCATGCCGCAACTCAAAGCCATAGCCTTTCCCACTGTGGTCCCACTATGTTAACAGTAGCCCGGCTGACTGTGCTCCTGGGGCAGTGGAGGTTCAGTGGCAGATTTCTCACACCCCGTGTTAGGACCCCCAGGTTCAATTCCTAGTCAAACCACCTCAAGCTTAGCTACTACATGGCCCTCAATGGAGGTTTTTCTGTTGCTATGATGCTGAACGGGTTTGGCAGGGCTCCAAGAATAAGACAGACTAGGAAGAAAGGTCTGGAAATCTACTTCCAAACCCTCAGCCAACAAAAAAGCTACAGACCACAACAGGTGAATTCCTTTGTACATGGGGTCACCAGGAGTCAAGAGCATCTCGAGGGCAGCCAACAAGAACCGTAATTGTCTGTGGCTGATCTGCTTCCGTGTATCTCTCATTTGTCTACCAGATGCTTTAGAACAACTACATCTTACACACCGTTGTATTTCAGCACTTAGCAGGGGCCATAACACAGCAGGACTTCAAAGAGGGTAGACTGAGTGCTCAAGTATTGTGAAAAGATTTATTAACACTCAATTTTCTTAGCTGTAACAAATTACTGTGCTGTTTTGCAACCCATATGATAACTGCCAAAGGACTTAAGATAGCACTTACAAAAATAACATAAAATGAGGATAAAATGTTATTTAAGTATTAGTAAGCCAACTATTACCTGCTTAAGTTTAATCGCAGATAATATTTTTTCCACAACAACATCCTGTGGCTGGTTCCAAATGGAAGCAGTTCCATTGTTGGTGATATAGGCTTTACATGCAGATATCATCTGATTTGTCACCTGGAGTTTTCAATAAAATGATGTTAAGTACATATTTGGGCAAAGACTATCAATTGGACTAAAGGACCCTTAACTCTTCTCCCTTCCTGTGAGCTTCAGCTTTGGATCTGTTTTTTCCATCCCAACTGTAATCAACCACCAACCTTCTGATATTGTCAGGATCATTAGGGAAGCCACAGAGTTGAAGACACCATGAAAAATTAATACTACCAGCCTCACATTTACGCAGGATGAATGCCTTAACCAACCAAGAAAGGAGTCACTTCCCTAAGATGGAAGCTGATGCGTTTCCCCCACCTCTTTAGACAGCCTGTTCCAGCATTTAACTCACAGTCTAGCTAGAAGTTTCACATAAAGTAGCATCCCCTCTACCCTCTTCCTCTCATGCTACATGATCTATTACAAAAATATCAAAAGGAAAAGACAACAGAGAAAAGAGTAAAGCCAAAATGTGTAACCATTAACATTTCACTCATCCCACCAAACATTAAAACAAAATCCCTCTGAATTTGCTTGGTGAGTTTTTTCTATATATTTAAAGGAACATTAGATGATTGTAACTTTTGCATCCACCACCTGCATGTTAGTTTTTCATACTGCGGTGGCTTCCATGTTTCTGTGATGCTGGGAGCAATGCCAATGGTATTTCACATATCAGAAGGGACACCCATGGTGGGCAGGTTTCAGCAGAGTTTCCAGACTAGGGAGAAAGACAGACTAGAAAAAAGGACTGACAATCTGCTTTTGAAAATCAGTCACTGAAAGCAATATGGATCACGGCAGAACATGCCTAGCTCGCCTTGGACACACCATCAGATCAGGTGGGGTCAATCGCTGGAGAAGGACATCCTGTTCAGAGAAGCAGAGGGGCAGCCAGGGCAAGGGAGACCCTCGGTGAGATGGAGCAATGCTACAATGACGGATTCAAACACGCCAGCAACTGTGAGGATGACCCAGGAGAGGGCAGTGCTTCATTCTGCTGCACATAAGGTCCCGTGCGTTGGAATCTACTCAATAGCAGCTCTCTATCTGATCTGTGCACAGAATGACATAATGTCTGGGATTTGCAGTAGACAAATCCCAGGGGAGGGGTACAGGTGAGACAAGATGGGCTGTGTTTTGACAGATGAGTCTGAGTGATATGTACTTGATAAAATCCTCTCTCCTCTGTACTTGCTTCAAATTTTGTATAACAGAAAATGTTTATAAATCAGATTACAGTGGTTTCATAATTTTGTTCAAAAACAAACCAAGCAAGAAATATGCATGATACCTAGAGTAATAAAGCACATTGACTTTTGAGTCTCATCTACCCACGGAATATATTCTTCAATGACTTTAACAAACAGTTTAAAAATGTGAAGATGCTGGGGAATGATATATATAATATATAATTGTAATATATGAAAGAATCTTTGATCGAAAGGGGGAGGATGTGGAACAGAATTCCAAATTCTCCAGGAATCTAGATTTTCTGAAGCCACAGAGGCTGGATAAAACCCCAATACTATTGTCCTAAAATAATCTTTAAATGGTAAACCAAAAATATCCCCAGAAGTCTTCTTAAAACTGAACAAAAGCTTAGCTTAACCATAAAGAACGCCTGCCCATAGCATTGTGCTCCTTTAATATCTATCTCTATGGGATCAGAGTGACAATAGCAACTGGAAAGATTAGACAGGAACCTTACAGGGCAGTGAGTTTATATTAACTGGGGAGGGACAGCTCAGAAAAGGAGGGTGTGAATGGTTGCACATGTCAAAGGATGGCACTAATGTCACTGAACTGCATACGCAGAAACTCG